CCAAGTAGGTAAACGCCTACTTTACGCCAGTTCTCCTGCTGGCACGAGGTCTGTGCCTGTTGTCATCCAGCCGTGGTGGCTTCTGAGTCTGTCTCTGCTCACCCCCGCGCCTCCTGTCTGCCCTCTGGATCCGGTTTCAAGGAGACTGAGCTCAGCTCCATCCCACAGGTCTTAGTGCACCGCTGAGGCATTCCTATGGAAGTGCTTCTGTGCCTGGCACTGGGACGTCCTCTCCACCACCCGCTGTGCCTGTCCTCTTACCGTTCCTTTCACTGAGCCCCTGGCCTGGAAGTGTGGGTCCATCAGACTATTCCAACTTTCTCCTTTCCTTTCTACCTTTCTAACACCGTGTCATCTCCTTTCTATGTGGGTCCTGGCTGCAGTAATGGTTTATTTTTAGACTGACTGTGGCTCCGGCTAACTTTTGGCCCCTGGCAGGGGCTCTGTCACTGGGTTTCTGAGAACAGCAAAATTCGATTTACTCCTACACCTTCATATTTTGTTCAGGGCCCTTTTGGAGTTTGGCAAAATTACTTTGAATTATCTCAGCTGCTTCCTTTAGTAAGCAGCTCTGAGCAGTTTCCGAGGGAAGCTTCGTCTAACCCTCTGCGTGAGATCCCTCTGGCCTCTCCAGCATGCATTGGAGGAGACACCACAGGTGCCTAAGCTGCCGAGTCCCTCCACACTGTGGCTCCAGGCTGCTCCGGACCCTGCTGGCAGCCAGGGAACCCAGGCTTCCCCTGCGTGACCGTCACACTGCAGAACGTGCCCTGTTCCTGCCCCCCAAATGACAGTGTCCACTGGGCTGCAGAGTGGCAGGAAATATCAGTCTCTTGGGCTGGAGCGGGGGGCATCGGGATCGTTTCTTCTTTTACTTTTCAGGCCACTTTGAGTTTTTTGTTGTTCTGAGATACAGCCATACCCGGGAGAAAGGCTGTCAAAGCCAATTATGGGGAAAGAAAGACCAAAACCAAGAAGCAAGTGATCAGTTTGTGGGTCAGGAAGACAGGCGTTGGTTACCGGAAGGTGGATGGCTGCAAAACACTTCAGAATCGCACCTGCCAGATGCGTCCGGCCCCCAGGGGTGATTTCACATTCTGTGTCATCTGACAAGATAAGAACAGCGTCGTGGAGGAGAGAGCTGTGTGCGGGGCACACAGTAGCTGCGGGTTTCCTTCCCTTGGTATAAACAATTCACTAAAAAATTCAGCTCACATGCTCTGTTCAATATCTACACTCCCCGCTGTGTCTACAAAGTCACTGTGTATTTGATCTCATAGGAATTTCTCCTTCCGTGAAGATGAGGAGAAGGAAGCACCCTTTCTGAGGTGCCAACACCAGCTCCCAACTCGACCTCTTCCGCCCTGTGTTGATGTGGCAATTTTTGCCTCTGTCTCTCTGTCTCCCTCGCCTCTCTTCCTCCAAATATACTTCTCTCCCTTATAATAAAACAAAGAATAAGCCAAAAATCTAACATCCAGAAAAGGAGAGGTGAAAATTATTGTAAGCTACCCACTCAGTGTTGTGTCGTTATCGGCTTACAGGAGGTTGATAAGGAAACCGGAGCTGTGGACACGAGTATTTTTCTTTTTTCTCTAACAATGCTGCCCAGAACAGCGTTTATCATAATACTCAGTATTTTAGAAAAAAAGATGCATGAAAATTATTCACAGTGAAGCTGATGATAGCTAAGCTGCTTATCAGTGCCTATATGTCCATCTTGTGGGCAGTCTTATGAAAACATCCTTTCCTTGGGGACAGTTTGAAAGCACAGAGCTGCGTGTGCTGGCCCAGGCGAGGGGCCTCGTGAAGCAGCACGCACCGTCTCACTGGACCTGCTCTGGGCTCTTTCTCCGACTCCTTTGCAGGACTAGGGCATCCGTAGGTGCGAGATTAACTCACAGCGGTGACTTCACCATCAGGTTCCGCACCTTTGACTCTCTCTCTCCACCCCTTCTCCCTCTTTGTCTTTCCTCTCTGTGTCCCATCTCATACTTACCTGTTTTCCTTTACCTCTGAGTGATTCGTCCTCTTCCATCTTTATTTGTCCTGTTTGGCTCCAGTCTGCATTTCATTATGACGTATTTCATTTCTCCCCCTTGGCACGGAAAGTCCGTCGCTCCTGGAACACGCCCCAGATGTCTGCTCTCCGCCCATCCTCACTCGGATCAGTCTTGTGTTGTCTGCACTCGGGGTCCTGCCCACCCTCAGTCCATGGGCAGCATCACACCCTCCTTTCCCCAACCTGTTTGTCACTATTTCTTTACTTCTGTGAATTATTTTCAACATTCTGCCCACATCAAGACTTCAGAACCGATTTGACTTCCTCATCCGTTCTGACTTCAGCCGAGTGGCCCTGTCTTCACCCACTCCATGCTTTTATTAAATCATGGCTCTGTTCATGTAATGGCCATGGCAGCTGCTACCCCATCTCCCTCCCGATTTTCATGTCACTGCCAGAAGAGCGCTAAGAGTCGCTCAGTAGAGGAAAGCAGCTGGGCCCTGCGGTGACCGCAGTCATGAAGTCTGATAGCCCAGACCCCAGGGCAGCTGCCCTGGTGAACCTGCGTCAGCTCTTCTCACATTCCAGCTTTGCTCTTTGCCTCAGGAGTCATCACGGGCAGGCTCACCCTAAGCCATAAACCCTAGTGCAAAGGCACATTTCATTCCTGTGTTGTGCATCCAGCGCGGGGTGGTGTGGGCTGTGCAGGGAGGGTACCGGGTGTTTTTTGCAAAGGCAGAGAAAGCTGTGGCTCTGCAGCAGCGCCAGTCACCCCTGCATGGCGTCCTTGTCCAAGACAGTCCCTGCCACTGCGCGGGTTCAGCTCAGGCTGCTGCAGCAAATGCCAGTCCCCATGGGGCTCAGCCCCAGCCCAGTTTACTCTCCCAGGTATGGGGTGGAAGGTCTCAGAGCCAAGTAGCAGCCAACGACTTTCCTCTAAGATATGGAGGCTTCGGGAGAGAGGAAAGCCCTTCCTGACCTCGAGAGCACAGCAGTCCTGTTAGACTGTAGCCTCACCCTGATGACTTATTCGTCTTTAATTATGACCCTTTCTAAAAATACAGTCACAGGGAGCATTAAGGCTTCACCATGAGCTTTGTGAGTCCACAGTTCAGTCCATAGCATTCTGCCTCGGAATTACCCACTTGAATGTGATTTGTCACGTATGAAACACATCTATTCCACCCTCTCAGCCCTTAAGTTTTAAGTCTTTCATTGTCAGCACTTAAGTGCAGCGCCTGTGTGCCGGCGTGGGTGAGCCTCACAGTATAACTCATGGCGAAGCAAATCCTTCAGTTGTGAGTGTGCAGCCAGCCACACAAAATCGGCGCTTTCAAGTGATAGCAGTGGACATGTTCCCACCCCAGCAAGAGAACAGGAAACAAGACAGTGTCCCTGGAAGATGAGCCCTAGCAAGGCAAGTTTTACTTCATTTTCAGACTCAAGAATAGCCTGCTGTGGTGCTGTCTCCTAGGCCACTGAGGTGCCAGCCTTGGCCCCAGAGCTGGGGGTCATCGCGCTGCAGGGGCCCTGCTGGTAGCAGCACTTTCAGGGCTCCAGGTGGAGGCAGCCTCACCTGCCAATGTGGAGGTGGGGACCAAGCTTGGCAGCCCGGGAAGCAGCCTGGGCCACCTCTGAGCCGCCCTGTGAGCCCTTCCTCTCTTGGAGACAAGTGCACAGAGCCGGGCTGGCTGGCCTGAGACTTCCAGGAGAGCCTGTTTCTCACTTTCCCTGTTGTCCTTGGCCCAACCTGGCAGCTTCTCCCCTGGCATAACCACATCTCAGCTCCAGGCCTTGACTGAGATTCTGGAGAGCCTTGATTCAGGTCCACACAGATTTCCTCATCAAATGACCAGGCTGCTCTCTCTATCCTCCTCCAACCCCCGACCCTCTCTATCTCTTTCTGAGTAGGCTGACAACTTCTCAGCTCTTTAGCTGCAAGGTCCTTCTGGTCTAACAATTCCTTCAGTTAATCTCTCTCTCCTAAAATTTATGATAAGCAGGGCACAGAAACCATGTTTGTCTTTCAATCTTGCTTAGAAACCTGCTCAGCTCTGGATCCAGCTTTGCTTTTCACATGTCCAGTTTTCCACAGAGCACTGGAACATGAACACATTCATCCAAGTTCTGTGCCAGTATATGCTTAGGATTTCTTCACCCCAATTTCCAAGAATATCTTCATCATTTCCATATCAAAACTCATTGAAAGCCCCACCCATACCCGTAACTCTACCCTCATTCTGTTCACAATTAGGTGTGCGTTCTCTGGGAAGACAGAGGGCTTCACTCCAGCTTTTCTCTCTCATCTTGGCTCTCCTCAGAATCACCTCCAGAATCTCTGTTTCTACAACAGTCCCATTCGAAATGTTTGCAACAAGGGCCAGGGATTTAGCTCAGCGGTTCAGTGGCCTGCCTTGCAAGTGCAAGGACCAGAGTTCAATCCCCAGTACAAAAAAAAAAAGAAAGAAAGAAAGAAATGTTTGCAACAAAAGTGCTCTGACTCTAGTGCCTGCGATGCATTATTTCACTCAGACTGCCACAGCAAACAACACAGGCTGTGCCCTAATCCACACATACTTCTTTTCTCTATGTTCTAGGAGCCGGAAGTCCTAGATCAAAGTGCTGGACAACTCAGTTCCTGGTGAAGGCTGTCGTCTTGGATTATGGATGATTGTTTCAGCCTGATAAGAAATTTCTGTTGTACAAGTATTAGGGAAAGAGAGAAGAGGGGGAAGAAAGGAGCAAGAAGGAGGGAGGGAGGGAGAGAGAGAGAGAGAGAGAGGGAGAGAGAGGATCTTTCTCATTCTTAAAGAGGATCTTCCTCATTCTTAAAAATCCACCAGTCCTATTGGATTATGACCCCAGCCTTTTGTCCTCATTTAATCTTTATTAACTTCTAAAAACTGACTTCTCCAAATATAGCCACATGCGTGGTGGGATCTTCAATACATGAATGGGGCGAGGCACAATTCCTGAGTTCAGATGTTGGGGACATTATGCATAGGACTCCATTACTCTTGCACTGAGACTTGTAATTGAAAGAGACACAAGCTAGGTGTTGTAGTCTGTCTTCCAACGGCTGCCTTTATTTTCGTAGTGTCTTCACCTTCAGCCTGAAATAGGAATAGGTGGAGGAATAGGAATAGGAATAAAATAGGAATATTTCTGGTGAATGAATCACAGCTTAAGTATGAGACAAACTTTCGTTTGTCTATGACATTAATATTTTGGAAAAAAAGATCTTAGAATCATTTCTTACAGCAATACAGCCATAAAGAGCTGAGTGAGACATTTCTGAGAAGTACTCACAGCCACCAAGAAGGTCACCATTCTGTGGCCACAGCAGAGGATTGTGCTGCTCATAAGGGCAAAGGATTCTGGGGCAGGTGGTAAGTTTCTCCTCCCTTGTCAGTTGCTCTGTTTGAATCCTTATTTTTCTAGAAAAGTCTAATTTTCCTCATGTGTCTTTCCATATGTTTTATGTTTTGACATCAACCACTTAAAAATCCTATTCTTTATTATTCTCAGGCATAGAATTCAATGATATTTTCATGACCTCAATTTCTTCCTTAATAATTCTGTAGTTTTCAGTACTTTTCTTTTGTCTACATTTGTCGACATATCCTTGATGGGCCGGCCACTTTGCATTGGTGGTCTTAGGAAGTTCTGGGGTCCCCTAGGTGGGAGAAGATGCTCCTAAACTCAGATGTCCCTGTCACTACAGCTGTACTGTTGCTCTGAGAGACAGGACTTTACTATTATGCAATTTATAAAAATGCTCCATCTCATTGAAAGAGATTCTGGATATGAGACTATTGACAGAGCCTTGGTAAAAGTCAAGAACACTTCATAGATAACTGAATTCAGAGCAAGTGTATGTTCAGGGTTGAATCAGACACTAAAATAGAATATCTAAAAGCATTATTCACCAGCAAACAACCTTCATTTCATGTCAAAAAGACTTTTCCTGTTTAAAAGGGCCATTATAAAAGCTGTATCATCCGCAGTCAGAGTTCCTTAATCTTGAACTGAGAATGTTTGTGCAAAGAGATAAAATAATTAAAAAACAACAGTAGGCTTTTGCCATCTTCAACTTTAATTCAAACCAACTCTTTACATCAGATCTACATTCATCCTTCTTTTCAAAATACATTTTCTCCTTCCAGTGATCCCTCACAAGTCATTAACTTGCACATTGTCTGCCCCTGTTCTCGTGAATTTCAGTTCTCTGTTGTCTGTGCACCACTGATTGTCATCTCTTTAGGAGTTCCAACATCTGACTTGACTCGATCGGGAGCGTCTCTGACCTGGAGGCAGAAGCTTGGTCTCTGATGAGCCCTGGGTTTCAGGAGACAAGGAGCAGCTCGTACAGTGATGAACAAAGCTGAGGGGTGAATATGACTGCACTTGTGTGCGGTGTCCATGGGCCCTGCAGACAAAGCAGGTGATTTCATGTGACACAATGTCCGCACTCAGGGTTGGAGGTCGACTTTCCCCTTGGGTGACTGAACGTAGAGTTAAACAAAAATCAATTCACTATGAAGACTGCCTCAATTCCTACATACTCATTCTTTTCCTTTGAAACACAAAAGAAACACAAAAACATTTGGTGGTATAGATCCTGCACCAGCTAGTAAGATCCAGATCAATCCATTCTGAAGGCTCAGAATCATGCAGAACGTTATCTGGCTGTGATGGCTCGAGCGAGGAGCAATATCAAGCACAATTCATTCCACTGCCAGTGCTGCTGCAACATCTTACCCCGGACTGGGGCTTCCCCAGCAGAACCTTATTGGGGTAGAATTCTGGAGGCTGGAGGTCTGAGATTATGGGGTTGGCAGATTCCTCTCAGGCCACTGTCCTTGGCATGTAGATGGCTGGGTTTTTCCCCGTATATTTACACAGGGTTCCTTCTCCGCGTGTCTGTAACCTAATCCCTTCTTCTTGTAGGGATACCGGCCAGAGCTGCTCAGAGCCCATCCGCCCCACCTCCTCAAGACCCCGTCTCCAGGCAGAGTTACATCTTGAGGTTCTGGCACTGAGGGCATCTACATTTGAGTATTGAAGGGGCATCATTCACCGTGAAACACAGAGCAGCTAGAAAATCCTAATACTCAAACATCGGGTGATGCATTTGAAAGATGACTTATAAGTTAAAGAAACAACAGGACAGTAAGAGATATTCTGAGTTCATAACATTTCAGAACATCAAAACTGTTGGACCACAGCATTAGCAATGCTAAGAGGTACGTTCATAGCTTTATATGTATTAGAAAGTAAGAACAATTCGAAATTTAAAGATCGCCAATTTTCCACTTGAAGAAACTGAACAAAATAAACTCAGAGAAAGTCTAAGAAGGGGAATGATAAATACATGAGAAAAATCAAATGGCCAGTAGATAAATGGCAGAAGAGATTAACAATATGAAACATTTTAAAGTTCAAGTGATTTATAAAACTGACAAAACTAGTAAGGTTAAAAGCAGAGAAAAGTAAAGGATAGGATACAATGTATAATGGTAAAAGAAAAGAATATTCACTATATGTTGCTAGAAAATCTGGATATCTATATGGAAAAAACAAATCCCATTTATTCTTCACATTGTGCCTCAGTTTAATTCCAGAATCATCATTAACCTCATTACGAAAACATAAACTTTCAAGCCTCTACTTCACATAGTAGAGGATTTGTGAAATTGTAAGGTAGTAGGCAGACTTTCAAAATCAACTACAGAAAGCATCATGCTTTAAAGTTGTCTGGGGGAAAATACATTTCTTAAACCTTAAAAACTCATACTCCAAAAGAGTAGCCATTAAGAAAATGATCAGGCAAGCCACTGTCTGGGAGACATGTGCAATATATATGTATGGAAAACATTCACATCCATAGTAAATAAAGAACATCTACAGGTTAATGACCTAAAAAAACCAAGCAACTCAAAAAATGAGCAAAAGCCTAGGACAGGTACTTCCCCAAAATGCACATACATGTGATTAATAAGTAGACAGACATTTGATGTAATTATCAATATTTATTAGTGAAAAGAAAATTAAGAGCCTAATTCAAAATAATTTTATACTTACCAGAATGGCTAAGAAAAAGCAAAAATGCTGCATACATGTAAGGATGGAGAATAATTGTACCCGTCACTTGCTGGAGTGTGAAATGGTACAGGTACTGTAGAAAACTGTTGAGTGTTTATTTTTCTCACAAACTGTATCACTACCTATGACCCAGTAATTCCATTCTTATTACTTTATGCCTCTGAAATTATAACACATGTCCGAACAAATATTCATACAAAAATATATTCTCTTCATAATAACCCAAGTCTGGAAATAACCCATACATCTTCGCCAGAAAAAGAAGTAAACAGATAGAAGTATGTTTTTATGATAAAATACTACAGTAGGACAATGGAGAGTGAGTTATATGCACTCACTGGAACAAAATATCCCATTGAACAGATTATGCCACTCACGTCAAGCTTGAGAACAGGATTTCTACCCCAACAGCCTGGGCTCTCAGAGCACCCTTCCAGCAATATCCCCAGGTCAGATCCTTTAAAGTGGCAAGTTCAGTGAGAACACAGTCCCAATCCCTTGAGGGTGATACTGGGACAGTAGGAAACAGAATAGGGACACAAAAAAATCCATGCTCATTGCGTTCCTCTATTTTTGAAAGAGCCGATGATTCTTGCCATTATTTTGGAGGTGTGATTTTAAAAGTTGCTCAAACTCAAAACAGAACTCTCTCCAAATGGCACTGAATCAACCAGTTCTATTTGTTCCACTCTTGAGCTTCACAGGCTTGGAAATGGCTGATGGAACAGATACCCAGAGACCTCAGCAGCTTACTTTGTGGATGCCAGATGAGTGTTTTCCCAGTTGCGATCTGGATGTCTGCTGTGACTTTGGGAGTCTTGAGACTCATGCAGGAGACTGCAGGCCCAGGGCTGACTAAGCAATAGGAGGGAGAAAGGGCTTCTCTGGCCCTGTGGCTCCTGCTAGCAACGTATGGCATTGGACTACATGAATGGTAGAGATCCATTGTGCGAGCAAGAGAGCACCACAGTTCATTGGACGGTGTTTCAGAATTAAAGTGATTTATTTAGAAAATAAGTCCACTACAAAATGGATGAATGAATAAGTAAGTTGATGGAGAGACCAGTGCTTTGCATGTGTCCATACTGTGACCCACTGTCCTGTATGTTTCTTTTTAGGGCCACAGCAAACTCCTTCCACTGCCCACTGTTGGTTCCTGTGCTCCGAATCCCTCTCATTCAACCCCAACCCCTCTCGAGGACTTTTCCTTGCTTCCTGTCCTCATCCCAGACCCTCCAGCCATGTGACCCAGGGCCTTGACTTTTGCACAGGACTGAGAACGGCTTCCAGACCTCACGGAAAGAGCTCACAGAGCCCAGGAGCTGGGAACGGAGAGTGTGGACCATGTCTGACCTTCGAGTATCTTTGGAGGTTTGATGATAACAAATTAGAAGGGAGAGGGAATTGGCCCCAGCAGAACACAAAGGTTTGAAAGAGCCACTTCAGGGAATGGAAATCAGAGCCAGTTATGGGCTCACGCAATAATATTGAAAACTCCACTCAGTAAAATTAAAGCCATCAAAAAGAAAGCACAAATGTGTAAGGAGTGACTCAGAGGTTTATGTGGATTTTCTGTAGTGCCAGGCTGGATGTCTAGAAGGAAGTGCATGGTGTTTTCTGCAATTCAGGAAGGGAGGATAGCAGGGCTCGGAAGAGAATGAGGAGGAAAGTACTGGTGGGAGGCAAGAGCCCCTACCTCAGCCAGTGCCCAGCCGTGCTACTGGGAGTCTTCAGTCCTAGCATATCCCGGAGCACGAAGCCTCTTTCCAGTGTCCTCCTGCCATTATGAAGGAGGAGAGGATCTGGAAATCTTCCGAGGTTTGGTTGCTTGCTGTCCTTTTCATAAACCTCAGTGATGGCCCGTTCATTTCAAAGAACAGGAACCTAACACCCAAGAGCTCTCTTTGTATATGCATGTGGTGACTTAGAACAAAACTGGAAGAAATAAGCAGAGTATCACACATGAACTAAACACTTACACATTCTATCACTTTCTGAAAAGGTTTCCGTAGGGGGAAATAGTAAAACAAACGTGACGAGATCTGAATTATGATGATGAAATGTAATGGAGCCTGCGCTTGTGTTTACTTTGGGCAGTGAAGTTTCAAGACCAGCAGAAATGACCACTTCTGAGGCCCAAAGTTACCACACACTGGGCCCTGGACTTCAAAGCCTCTGGGTATACCAGGCCTGGAGAGCCCTAGGATGTGTTTGGGCAATGAGGGAAGAAACGAGAGGCAGTCATGACCTCGAACCAGCAGTGGGGATGTGCAAGGCCACCTGGAGCTCTGTGGTACCTGGGCTGCAGCTACCAAAGCGTCCAAAATTCAGACAGTAAACAGATGCATTCACCGAAGGATGAGAGGATGCCTGCAGTGAACCCGGGGTCGGCGCACCAGCAAGGTCCTGAGAGGTGTTCAGCTTTGTGCTTCAGGAGCCTTCCTGGACCTCCGATAGCTTCCTGACACAGCTGCGCAGAACTTCCTTTACTGTTCAGTTCTAGGGAACACTTTTTGATTTCTTCATCTTACTGTTTCATGTGCATTCGGGAGCAAGATAGTCTCCATTATCGGGAGGTGAAGGGCAAACATTCATAAGTCTACTGCTCCGAATGGATCACTGTACCTCCACAGAACGGCTGGTTTGAACTCTTTTGACCTATCTTGCGCTGAGAATGGATGTTAAGGTCCTGTAATTTGTCTGTCCTTCCTGTAGTCTCTGTTTTATGGTTGTAGTTTCTATATTATTCAGTGCATAGATATTGATCAACATTTTGTCTTTATTAATTGTGAATGGAGACATTTTGAATACCATATTCATTAATTGTACTCATTTCATGCTTTTTAGTATGATGTCACTGTTTTATTGGTATGTGTTTGCAGTACACAATGGTTATAATTATTGTAGGGATTGGTACAAGTATGCTATAATTGAATTTAATCTTCATTATTTTTTCTCTTCTTTTTCATCCCTTACCCTTCCAATTCCTGATGCTCTTCCCATTTGCAAGAGGTTCATTTTCATCATTTCCTTCCAATTCTTTTTTATTTATCTCCCTTTCCTCCCCCCATCTCCTGTCCCTGCATCACTCATTTCTCCATCCATCTGGAAAAGATCTCCCTGTGTCCTATTTATTACCTTCTATCTTGATCTTTATACCTCTCTGTGTATTTCTCTCACATAAAAGAGACTGTGCCGTATTTCAGCTTGTGTGCCTGGCTTGTTTCAGGTCTGAAGGTGCATAGCCATTGTTTACATTTTCCCTGTGAAACCAATACCCATTCTTGGATTTTTAGCTTTCTAGAATCACTTTGCTATTGAATGCATCTTTTCTCCACAGCAAAGTTTTGTTAGAAAGACTAACCATTAATTAATTATTGACTTTTTCCAATTTTAATTTATTTAGTGACTATATATATATATATATAGAGAGAGAGAGAGAGAGAGAGAGAGAGCTTTTTTTTTTTTGAGACAGGGTCTCACTATGTAGTTGAAACTGACCTGGAACTCACTATGTAGCCCAGGCTGGTCTTGAACTCTTATATATATATATATAGAGAGAGAGAGAGAGAGAGAGAGAGAGAGCTTTTTTTTTTTTGAGACAGGGTCTCACTATGTAGTTGAAACTGACCTGGAACTCACTATGTAGCCCAGGCTGGTCTTGAACTCACAGTGATCCTCCTGCCTCAGCCTCCTGAGTATGGGGATTACAGGCATGCATCACCATGCCTGGTTAGTGACATATATTTTTATTTTTACTGTGTGCATTGATTAGCTTTACTGTGTCCATTTCTTTATGAGCTCTTATTTCCTTATGCTCACCACTTATTGTAGTGAGAAGTGGTGCATTTTTGTTCCAGTGGATGCACTGATAATAATGCTCAATGGAGCTTATGTCCTGCCTCGCCCTCTGCTGAGCACCTCGTTGGCCCTCAGTGGTACAACGAAGCCTGGCATCAGTGAGGCAGTGTGTCTTTCACCTCTTCTGTGTGTTCTGCCTTTCCTCTGTCTGCCCTGCTTGTGCCTGGCCTTGGTGCGGTATGCAGGGCTCCTGTGCATGGCTGTGTCTCGGCCGGACAGAGCTTGCCTTCGGGAAGGGTCTGGAGCACAGTATTTCCCAAGTTCTTAATTTCTCAAACAGTTTTTGTACTTGCAGGATAACTTGGATAAATTTAATACTTGACTGTTTTATTGAATTTCTTTAAAACATTGCTTTTCTTGTCTCTTCAGTCTATGCTGCTTTCAAGAAGGCCGATGACAACCTGATTTCATTTCCTTCACAGGTGACTTAGTTATTTTATCTGGAAGCTTAGAAAAACGTCTTTTGACTTTCAAGTCAAATAGACATATTTAGATTATGCCTAGGAATTGGTCAATTTTCTAAGTACCTGGTGGTTTTTTCAATATTCAAACTCATATATTATTTAATTTTTGAAAACTTTTATTGGAGTATAATTTAAACGGACTTACATTGTTTTGTGCACTTATAATTATGTTATGTCATCTTTACTTTTCTCATAGTCACTTCCTCTTTAATCTTTTATGCATATTTCTTTATTAAACATTTGTTTCCCTTTTTGTAGTTCTTTCTCTTTGCAAACTTGTAGCATTTCTTATTTTAAAGATGACATATTTTCCTTTCAATTTTTTCCTGAGTTGAAATTTCACTCCATTTATAATTTGCTCCATTCTAAGGCTTTGCATTTCTTATTAAAATATGATTTTTTCATATCTATAAAATTGCTCTAGGATATGTAATTAAAAGTAGGGTGATTTGTTAATATTTCCCTTTGCTTTCTATTTATCATTTTGGGGAGACTTGTCATCAGCATCAGCTTATTTAGTATCTTCACATAGATTTTGCCTGAAATTATTGCTCATGATTTGACATATTCTGTAATTTTTAATCCGGGATCAGGTGTAGGCAGATATTTTGGACGACATTGCCTTAGCCTAAGAGTATCTTCTCTCGGTTGTGTGGTCACTCAGAGTTCTGCTAGCTGATGCCGCTCTTTGTGTGGGGTGGCATTCTCCCATTTTATAATTCCCTTTGTTTCTGACGGGTCCCTTTGCCTGCTGTTTCCTTCTCTATGATGCGCCAGCACCTTGGGTCGCACCCCCCTTGCTTGGGTCCCTTTGCTCCCACTTGGCAGTCTCACCTCTCTGATCGACCTGACTTTGGTCCCTGTTTGCCCAGTGTTCTTCTCTTCTCACATGCAGGATTTGGGATACACTGAGTATTACTGAAGGAAGGTTTGCAGAGAGCAACAATTAGCGAGGAAACAAGAAAGCCACAGGAGACATCAAAGCTTGGACAAGTAGCAGAGGGCTGCTGCTATTCACTGTGATGAAGAAGCAGAGCAGTAGAAACAGAGATGTTGTTTCTGTAAACTTTGAGATGCTCAATGACCATCCACATGGAAAGAGCTCCATGAAAAGAAACTGATTATATTATTATGGAGTTTATGGTAAAGGCTGGGGTTATATGATTATTTATTTGTATAATGGCAACAGATAGTTTAAGCTTAGTTCTATTGCTGACGGAAGCCATTGAGGCCATCATGGAAGGCAAAAAGAAAGGAGCTTGTGTGTTGGGTAATAAAGATGAAGATGAAGCCATAAAGCAAACAAGGAGTCCCACTGGGGAAAGAGATCTAAGAAAGTGAAGATTTCTGGAGTCCAAACGAAGGAACATCGAGCTTCCTAAGTGGAGTAAGGGTAGTACCCATACTTGTAGTTATGGGTCCAATGCTGATTGTAATGCTCAAAAGAAAATAGAGTCCTCCGTTTGAGACATGAGTGTTAGTTTGCTGTTTCATGATGATCCTGTGTAATACATTTTCCCCAGAGTCAGTGATGCATGAACTCCCACTAGTGAGTCTGTAGGTTCTCTAGGGTTTGACTGCTCAGAACTGAGGGCATCAACATGGTTTTGCTTTGAGTTTCGCTTCTACTAGACCTGGCTTCTCATTGAACATTGAGATCTCATCTGTTCCATGTTGTCACTCATGAAATGGGGCTGAAGAGGCCTCTGTGACCCTTGCAGGTCACTGCTCTTGTCAATCACAGGGCAGAGGCCTGCAGAGGCTTTTTAGTTAAGGCCCGTGAGACTGGCAGGCTGTCCTGCTCCCCATGTTCCCTTGGATACAGCCAGTCCCACGACAGAGGTCATGGTCAAAGGCAGGAAAAGTTCTCCATCTTCCCTGGGATTAATCACACAGCTCCACAGCAAAGAGTAGAGGAAAATCTTCTACAACATGCAAATGCAAACACAACAATCACAACCTGGGAACTCAATGAGGCACCTCAGAGAATAAACAAAAAAACAAGACAAAAACAAATTCCATTTTCCATACAGCAGGAGGCAGCTAATATCACAGCCCGCTTCTAGGTGACAGCGTGTCCATGGCTCTGGGATCTGAAAGCAGATACCCTAGGAGGATGGTAAATGATGTGATGCAGAGGGATTTGGCGCAAAGCAAGAATGAAGTGGCTGCCAATCTAGAGCAAGCCTATGAGGTTGCCCTTCTAAAAGCATTCTGAGGGGTACATGGTTCCTCCTTGTAATGGTGAAAAGAGGGCATCAGCTCCTGACTGGAAATTCCTGCTTGTTGTTGGATGTTTCTGTGGAGCAGACAGATAGTGATCAACCAGGCAAATATTGATGGGGCTTCTGGGAGTTGCACAAACCTGTGTGCCTTTCTGTCCCCTTGATTGGGAAGAAGAAAATGCCTGAGGAAATCACACAGAAAACCTGGAACAGAGGGGAAATCCCAGGTGGCGCAGCAGTGAGCCCGGATGCCTCCACTGGAGTCTCCTGTTCATGCTGTTGTCAGGAGAACTCTCTTCCTTCAATGCTGGTCAGCAAAAGGGCTGTTGCAGGACTTGTCATGGTATTTCTGCATCAGGCCTGACTCTAGCTCCTCCTGAGAACCAGACACAGAAGGTCGTGATGCTGGTGGCCACAGTGGCTGAGAAACCAGCCTCAAAGATGGGACATATGCTATGGCTTCTGATGGCACCTGCACAGAAGACTTCCTCTCCTCACCGGCCCGTGTGTCTCCGAGATACACTGAAATGACTTTTCTAAAGAAGAGAAAGAAGTAAACAAGCTAAGAAGAACTCTTACAAGAAAAGATCAACTGTAACAATTCCTAACCCCATTATAAATAACTTAAAACAAAACTACGTTCCATGCATATGAGACAAGAACACAACATGAAGGCAGGCTTTCAGGGAAAAGATGGCAAATCAGTGGAAAAAAAGAGCTTCATCTGCCAGAGCTCAGGAAATAATAGAAAGAAAAAAAGAGAAATAGAAGCACTAAATGTGTTACTGAAGAAATTTTCTCAAAATGATAAAAGATGAAGGGAACTACTTGTAGGATAAGATTCTTATTCATATAAAATATAATTTCTGTCTGTTCACAAAGACACAGGAACACAGATATGACCTAATGAAGCAGTTGCATGGTTTGCTTTCATTAATAAAAAGAGTTCATATTAGCTAGATAGCAGATGCAGTTCCAACATATAAAAGCAAATGAAAAGGGATCAAAATCCATGAAGCCACAGGAGATGTTTCATTCCTTTCAAAAGGATGGAAATACACATACACATTGCAAAATGTACAGATCAGCATGACATCCCACCAATGTGTATAATTTTAGGTGTCTTTTGAAAAACA